TACAAAGGGTTTGCTGGTACGGACACAATGGTAATCCCCCTAGTGGAGACAGCGATTCCAGCAAAACGGTTTTTCATTCTGTTCGCCCAATGGAATCGTTAAGACTTGCCAAATATTTTTGTTGCCGCTAAAACTGTGTCTACACTAGATCTTTTGCCAATCCAGGCCTATCGGTTGGGGTATGATTTTTTTTACGCTCCTAACAAATGTAGCTATACTAATCATATTGTCGAGTAGAGACCGGACCTCAGAGTGGAAAGTTTGGTCCTTTGTGGCTATCCCTCTCATCTGGAAATCAGGAGGTCCAAGTTTTACATGGACTTGACTCTCTGATTTTAGGAAGCTGAAACAGAGGGGTGCCCAGTGAAGTGACTCTCATAGACGTCAAGGCCAGAAGAGACCGTCATGACTGTGTAGTGCAGAATTCAGATCTCTTTCTTCAGGTGCCTTCCTAAAATCTCCTGGTTCCACCATGTACACAAGAAATTAACTATTAAACAGTTCTCATTTCTGTGCCAGTCTTTTAGGTCCTGATCCTTTAAAACTCACTCCCAGGTGTAAATGCTTCCATCTATGAATTCAAAGGATCTATTTATGGAAGTACGCATTGCGCTTGGTAGTAGATGTTTTCAGGATTGGGATGTTATATTGTAGGTTGTAGGTTCTTCAGACCAAGGATTGTTTTGATACCAGAGTAAGGATAAGGATGTTAAATATTGACTAATCGATGCCCTAGGGTTGTTGCTACACTTCAAAGGCAAAGGTGCCATGTGGAGCCTGGGGTCGGCTGGGCTTGATCCTGGGCTCCATGCAGTGCTGCCTGACACTGGGCTCCCCATGGTGTTTTAACATGGCAGCGCTGCACAGAGCCCAGGATCGTCAGGGGAGTCCCCAGTTGATCCTGGGTTCCATGTGGTGCTGCCCCTTTGAAACTCTGCATGCAGCCTGGGGACACTGCAGCTGGCCCCAGGCTGCATGTGGTGTTTCAAAGGGACAGTGCTGTGTGGAGCCTGGCACCAGGCTTCAAGAGGTGCTGCTGCTTTGAAGTACCCCCTCTTCTTTGCTGCCTCTGACCTCCCTACATTTTGGGCCCCCCTTATCCTTCCTTTGTCCCAAGGCTGCTAGGTTTGGCTAGATAGAGGCAGCAAGGAGGATGGGGAAGGACTAGTCGACTATTCTTCACATCCCTATACCAGAGCACCTAGCATATTGTCTTTGCTTAACAAGTAACAAATCATAACAACAAAGTGGTGCTCTGTGGACCCCAGATAACCATTGCTGAATGACTCTAATAGTGACCTCATAGGCAAGTGAAACCTGCCAGACAAAAGGCCCCAAAAGTGGCTCACAAATCTTTACCAATTGATCCTGGGACATTTCAGCGGGCCTTGTAGATGTAGGGACCTGTAGTCTCTACTAGGCAGCTACAGTTCAGGAGAGCTTCCAAAAGCTGCCACCCTGGTGCTTGTTGGGGCAAGTTTTGGGAGCGCCTCAAAGAAAAAGTCCTGTTTAAAGAAACAAGTGATCGGTGCAACCAGAGGAGCTGAATAACCATTTTCTGCTGTGGCAAGGTGTTTCTAATTGCCCTCTCTGTCGCTATTTGAGGGCGCCGCTTTGAATTGCTGCCTCTGTGTTTTGAAACAACATCCACAGACATATTTACATTGACTGCCATGGAGCGTGGTGGGGACATAGTCTGGGGGGCTGGTGGGGCAGCACCACTTGGGGCTCTACTTTTGATCTCCGGTTGAACTGAGCTCAGAGGAGGAGCCGGGAAGCTGTTTGTACTGTTGATACTGTAGCTGGGCTATTTTTATCATGGTTTTGGACCATTAGCCAAGTGCTACCTACCAGTGAAATCAAGGTGAAATCATAGCACTGAAAAGCCATGAAGAGCAGCTGTTGACATTTTCACCAGTGACATATTTCCCCGAAGGAGGAAGCAGTCGGACTAAACCTTCCCTGGCATCACAAGATCAGCAGCCTGGTGCATCTGGAGGACTACTCCAGTCATTTGTAGTGTAGCCTCTCTTTTTCTTCTCTCTTTGCCCACAAAGGAAGCAAAAGGAGGGGATTCCTAGTCCAATTCTCTGATAGCTGGGGTTTGAGCAACATTCGGTAACTGGCTTCCCCAAAAGAAGATGGAATTAGATGATTCATAGATTCCAAGGTCAAAAGGGAATGGTGGTGAGAATGAAAATAGAAGGACATCTGGAACTGTTTAGACACTAACTGCTAATCAGTCCCAGGATATATTGCTTAGCCCAGAGGTGGGCAATAATTTTTGCAAGGGGGCCACTTAATGAATTTTGGTAGGTGGTCATGGGCCGGCAGGGCCTGGAGTGGAAGGGGCAGAGCATGGGGCTAGCCTCCCTCCAGAGTTGTCTGGGGCTGGAAGCTTTGAATTAAAGAGCTGGCTGCCCTGTGCTGGGTTGCTGTGGTGATTTAAAGGGCTCACAGCTCCAGCCCCTGCTGGGGAAGCACCACGACTGGCAGCCGTGAGCCCTTTAAATACAATCCTGCTGCCTGAGCCACTGCCTGGAAATTCAGTGGCCCGGGCAGCAGGATATAAATAGAATCTGGCCAGATGCAGTCTGCAGGCTGGATCAAAGTGTTAGGTGGGCTGGCTCCGGTCCCCGGGATGCATCTTGACCAGCACTGGCTTAGCCCATCGATCTAGGAGTCAGGACTCCTGGGTTCTGTTCATGGCTGCAACACAGGCATAGGCAGGTTACTTACCTTTTTGCTGCCCCAGTTCTTCCATCGATGAAATGAGCATCATAGTTTTAACCATCCCATGAGGTCTCTGAGACGTCAATATTAGTTTGTAAAGCACTTTGAGATTCATGAATGCAAAACCAGAGTTCAACGGTAAGTGTATTTTATTATGATTATAGTCAAAGAAAGATGAAACATGGATAAGTGGTTTGACCCAGTCGTGCTTTAAGGATGATTTCTAGGATCCTCAAGAAAGCCCACGGAGCAAAAGCTCACTTTGGGGAAAAGGTTGTTATGATGTGTTCTGATGGCATGACATGGCTTCCTGCTTTGGTCGGAGATGATAGTGAGATGATCATGAGAGTGTTGCACTGAGTCACAATAACGTCCATGTGTCCTTGTCCATGTGTGGGTCTCCTAGCTGGTGTGAAAATACAAATAATAACAAGGGGATGCTATTTTGCTGAGCTGTGCTAATTTTGTGCTCAATTACATGCCGTGAGGCCCTGTTGGAGATAACATGCTGCTACACAGAATGATGTCTGTGAGCATTTGAAAAGGTGTAATCGTGGTAGTTGTCATTGTGATGTGCCGAGGGTCCCCCATGGCGGATCGACACGTTTGGAGTAAGGTGGCGACGTGCTGCGGGGCAATGCTGCTTTGAGGGTGTCTCCTTCGGGCAGTCGGGTGTGATGTCACCTGGCAGCATGATGATGTCACGGTGCGAGGTCGGGATGACGCATTAGCATGCGCTGTCACGTTGCAGCCTGGCACCGTGGGATGACAGGGGCCTGGCGCAGCGGGGCGCCGGGGATGCCTTGCCGTGGGATGACCTGGCAGGGTGACACGTCACAGGGCAATGATGTGAATGTGTCATGTCACTCCCCACGGCACGAGGTCGTTTGGCAGCCTGTTGGCCTCCAGCTGAGGCCTGCCTTGAGCCCTCCCTGCCAGTTAGACTACAATTCCCATCAGGCACCTGGGCGGCTGCAACACCAATGGCGCCTCGGCGGCGGGACTACACTTCCCATGACGCCTTGGGGTAGGAATCGTCTCAGCGCCAGGAACGACAACCCCCATAATGCACCACGGCGCCGGTACTATTTTCCCCTTCGCCTTCTCGCCCCGCCCTCTGGCTGTGACGTGGAGGGCTCTTAGACTACAATTCCCATCAGGCACCTGGGCGGCTGCAACACCAATGGCGCCTCGGCGGCGGGACTACACTTCCCATGACGCCTTGGGGTAGGAATCGTCTCAGCGCCAGGAACGACAACCCCCATAATGCACCACGGCGCCGGTACTATTTTCCCCTTCGCCTTCTCGCCCCGCCCTCTGGCTGTGACGTGGAGGGCTCTATGGTGACGTGGGGGAGGGGGAGTTCAGCGCGGCGGAGCCGGTGTCCGCGGCGGACGGAGCGCGGAGCCCGCACCCCTCCCGTATGGCGGCCAGGCGGCTGCGCGCGGTGCTGCGGCTGGGAGC